CTCGGGAGAAGGCTCAGCACCCACCAGAGCCTGAGTTTACAGACCTTACTCATTTGAAAGCCAAGGCCCCAGTCACCTCTGCCTCTCAGTGATGCTATGATGCTATGGACACTGCCCTCTGGTCCTATCCACCATGACTACAGTTTAAGACTCATCACTCTAATGTAGGGAGTGATTTTACGTCTCCGTAAGCGCTCACCACTCCCATGTGGGTGTGTTCACGGGTACGTAGAGTAGAACACGTGGGTAAATAGAGCCAAGAGGAGGAGGAGACTCTTTCTCTTCGAGTTTCAGTTTCCACCTAGAGAGCCGCATGCGGACCTTTGGTTCTCAGCTTTCTGGACTTTTCACATAAGTGATTTCTCTCTCAATAAATATCATAGGACATCCCTAAATTTGTGTAGTTAAGTATTTCTGCTTCACTCTAATAGAAAATCCATTCTGTAACCAGTTTCTGATTGTAAAACAAAGGTCTCCAGGAGGAAAATAAGTAAGGCAGAAAAGGTTGGGTTTTTTTTTTAAGGTGTTAAGAATCATCATCCAGCTTTCCTAATAAGACCCCAGCAGGTTCTGCCTGATGAATGCTTCTAGAAGAAAATATCTCCCTAAGAGTCTAGAGCAGACACAGTTTGGGCAGAATGGGAGGTGGGAAGAGCTTCCAGAGGCACAGCTCTTCGATGGAGTCTGGAAGGATCTTTGGACACACCCCATTCTGGCCTGACTCTGCTGTTCTGCTCTCTTCTGCTCCTCCCCTGTGACCCTGTGCTCAGTGGTTCCCCTGCCTCGAGTCTCTCTAGATGTTCACACAGCGTACTCCAAGGTCTTCTGAAGGGTCATTCTCCAACTCCCAACAGCCTCACACACTCAAGCACACACGACAACACCCCTCGTGCTCCCGTCCACTGTTCAGTTCCCTGCACAGTTCCCGATGCGGCCCAACATCACTTGAGCTCCCCGCATGGCTGCCCAGGACACTGCGAGCCCTTCTGCTCTCTCCTCTTCTCTGTCACACCATAGACGCAACAAACGGCTCTGGTGAGATACTAGGGTGGGAGAATAGTGAGTGAGAGAGGCAGAAAGTGGGGAGAAGGGAGGAGAATCCTGAAGTGGGGTGTTTACATGAGAGGGACAATGGGACTGCCGAGATTCTATGATGAAAGGAAGAACGGTGAGGAAGAAGAAGGCTCTTCAGGGCAATTTCCCTGGACCATGGCAAGGCTGTCACTTGGAAATGAAGGCCAATGGGGCCTCGGGAAGCTTGGAAAACCAAGTGATGGAGCCATGTTTTGTTCTAAAAACACTGCATCCTGGACTCAGCTTGGAAAACCTATCATAGAAGCACAGAAGGTCAAGAACAGATACATGCTATCTAGTCAGACGCTGCCTCAGTGGCTCGGACAAGTGTGACTATAGACATTAAAGGATGGGACACCTTATGAAACTGGATTCTGAGAAGGAGACATGCGCAGAGCAGACTCCAGCTGTTGGGCAGGCTGAGTGTGGAGAGAGAGAGAGAGAGAGAGAGAGAGACAGAGACAGAGACAGAGACAGAGACAGAGAGACAGAGAGAGACAGAGACACAGACACAGACACAGACACAGACAGAGAGTGAGTTTTGACACAATCCACTCCACTTCTCTGCCTTCTTATAAATGAGTAAGGTCTTATTAGTAACTAAGCTCCAACAAAAGGAAGGAACAAATAAAATGTGCGCTTCCAGGAACATTCCATTCAAAGGGAAAGAGTACATTCTTTCTTTCCTGCTTTGTTCACCCTGCTGTTGAGGGCATGGATGAGTGTCTGGAGCTCTAACAGCCTTTACATTCATGGGAGATGAGAACCAACCCCAAAAGATGACAAAGAAATGAGCTAGAAAGGGCCTAGTTCCCTAGAAATGTCATGAAACCCATGCGTCTTCTGGGCTGCCATGCTCCGACTTCTTTAAAAGAGGGGGGAAACAAACTCATTTGTGAAGCTAACATTTGAAGAGGTTCTACCCGATGGAGTCAGCCCTAACACTAGTCGGAACACCAGCCAATCGGTCTACCATGCCCCATCTTCTTGCAGAAGGTCACTGTCCAGACAGAGCATGCCTCCCTACTTGCCTGTATTTACTTAAATCCTGCCTGCCTTTTGGAGGAGGCATCATATTCTGCCTCCCACTGTAGGCTGGCCTTCCGCTTCCTTCTGAACTCTGACACCATCTGCCCCCTCTCCGCAGGCACCTGGCCCAACGTGTGTCACAGCGATTGACTCATGCCCCCACACTTATATCCCCACTCTTCAGTGAGGTTCAGCATCTGCAGGGTCAAGGTCCCTGACTGTCAAGGCCAGCAGCTCCCAAGCCTTGGGGTGGGCCCCACAGAGCCGATTCACCTCTGCCTACCGCGGGAATTAAGCTTGGGCCAGAAAGAAAGTCAATCAGGTTGGAAAAGACTGGGGAATAGGAGGTTGAGAGCCCGAGAAGGACATGCAAAACTAGATCCAGTGCAAAGAGATAGCTTCAAGAAGAGACTTGATAAACCTTTGGGCCTGATAGTGTAGATACTGGGCTGCCTCAGAGAACACACTAGCAGCCTACATCCACACAGCAGTGGCTTCTAGAACAACAAGCAGCCTTCCTCCCTCCGAGAGAGGGGAAGAGCATCTGTGTCCCTTCAGGGAAAGAGCGGGTTGGAGCTAAACAGTGGCATGTGACCATAGTATTGCAGCTACTGCTGAGGCGTGGAGAACCCCTTGGACCCAAGAATTCAAGACCAGCCTTGGCTGCAGCAAAACCCTAAGGGAGGTAGGCAGGAAGCTTACTGTGTAAACCAAAGTACATGCTCCATACATGTTCTTTACAAATCACTGTAAATAATGATTACTTCAAAATGTATGCTTCCAACATTCTAAGAACAAACAGTTCATTTAATTCAGAGAACAACTAAACGGGGTTCATTCATGAAAGTGGCCGGGTGCTTTAAAAGTAACTTTGTAACTTAACTCTATTGCCACACAACTCATTGTTGAACACCATAGAAAGGCAAAGCCCGCCCAGGGGACTGATCCCGCAGAGATTACTTTGTAACATGCTGACACACCGGGCCGTCAGGGAGGTAATTATCTCTCAGGAAGTTTAAACGGAAACTTCTAATTTAGAATAAACCCAGTGGAAGCAAAGCCTGGCTCCTTTGGGGCCTTTCCTGGATGCCTCAAAAGTCCATTATTATCATAGTTACGAACTGGGATTCCCAGAAAAGCCATCAAGCAGACTTGGAATCACACTAACAAACTGAGCAGAATCATTGTAGTCTAGCCCAGGAAGATGAACTGGTCACCATGGAGAAGCTGAGAGACAAGACTCCTCTTTAAAACCGCACTAGTGTCTCTTTAACGTGTGCTTCTGGCATCAAGGAACAGCTATTTACTTTGCAGGAGTTTGGGCCAATTAACAGGTTACCAGCTGTACCTTCCATTCTCTCTTGCAGACAGCTTGTGCACAACTTAGCAATTCCTCGTTTCAGCTGGAACTCAGGCGGTTTTAATATGCCTGCCAAAACTTCTCCCTTCCGGGCCTAAGAGTCTTGAATTCTGTGCCAACCCCACGTGGCCAAATGCCACTTGGGGACAGCGCCTGTAGACACCAGGCCCGAAGCCCCATGAGAAGCTAGCTGACTTTTGCAGGCTGTCTTGAGACAGCTGCACTTGAGACCACTAGGTGTCAGTGGTGAGTCAAAAGACGCACATCCTGAAAGTGCAGGGACCTTCTGCCAGACCCTAAGGCTGAAGTGTTTGAAACCTGATGCTGTGGCTTTGGGGGACCAAGAGCACTCCCATGACATTCTCAGGCATTCGTGAACAGTGTTCGTTTACTGGGCTTCCAACTCACCATGCAATCTCTAGATGGTTTCAATTTAGTGTGTCCCACACACCTAGATGAAGAACTAACTATCCATTTCACAGGCCTGGGGTCTTTGCCCTATCCCTAGGCCTGGAATGGTGAAACTTTAAAACAGTGTTTTGCCTGTCCTCCCTATGAATATGTTACCAGTTCCCGTTTCTGCTAACTCTAAGGTCTTTCCTTTGCTACATTTCAATGATACTCTTGCAGAGTCTAGAGGAAGAAAAAACTGGATTGCATGGAGCTCATAGCCACTTCACTGCCTGTTCTGTGGGGCTGGACATTAACTGGTCCCTCTCACTGAGTGTGGCATCTTCAACTAAACACGAGAGAGAAGCTTACAGTAAGATTGGAAGCTTCCTTCACAAGTCAGAATTCCAGGCCTCCTGGGCCCAGGACCCATCCTTGGGAACATACCGTCAAGTTTTAGCAGAGATCTCATGACTACACATCCACCAGGACTATCCACCTAGTCACCTCTACACTGGCTCCCTGCGCATTCCTAGTGTTCCCTTGATTTCAATCTCAGCCAGGTTCCCAACATCCCATAGCCAAAGATGGGGAGTGCAGAGGAGAAATGCAGTCTATGGAGAAGGGTCCATATGCTAAATGGTACCACTGAAGCCCAAGACCTAGGAAGACAGTTTGGTAATGGGGGTGAGGACAAACCTGGCCAGGTCATCTTCATGAAGTCTCCATTGCCTAACGCTGCAGTGGGAAGGTGCAGAACATTTCTGATACAGATAGTCACCAAACCAGAAATGTCCACAGTGTCACCTAATTGCCATGGGATCTACTTAAGTGAACTGTGGCATATTGCCTCCTCTGCTTACCTGTGTCCGAATTTCTGTGTCCGAATTTCTTTACCCACATAGAGCATTACACAAAGTGACTGGGGCAAGCAGAAGGCATGGCTCAGGCAGAGCCATGGTGATACTGAAGACTCCCTCGTGAGACAACTGTCCCCTGCCTCTCCTGTTGGTTGCATGGCTATGTGACACATCCCACCCAACCCAGAAGGGGCTTTCTAGACCAGAACAGCAAGGGTTGATGTTTTCAGGTGCAAAAGAACAGCCCTCAGGCCCACTCTGAGCAGAGCAGAACACTAGTTTCTCACCACTCGCTGACGATGAGTAGCAATGCTGGACGGCTCCAGAGAAGGACGTGGTGCAGTTCTGCCAGAGGTCAGTTGTGTGTCCATTGCCCACGAGCCATTGCTGGAAACAATCAGACACCCCAGTTAGTGAAGCAGTGAGGAGGAGGGAGGGAGGGAGGGAGGGGGGAGGCAGGGGGAGGATGGTGGAGCAGCCATCCCCAGGAGGCCTGCCCCGCCCCTTGGCCCCTTGCCCAGGGAGATCAGCACAGACCACTCCCTAGCCCCCATCACCTGGAGGTCTGCCCCACCCACCTCCTGCCCTCAGCATAAGCCACTCCCTGGTAAAGTTAGCAATTGTCATGCAGGAGTGAGAGGTGAAGGTCTGATATGGGTATCATGAGGAGGTGGAAGCACTGTTTTGTGTGTGAAAAGAACTTTGGAAATGAAGGTATCACACACACACACACACACACACACACACACACACACGCACACGCTGCTTCACAAACCGGTGAGTGGCATAGCAGGAACCAGGGGCAAGTGCACTCAGACACCTTCTGGGAGTCATTCCTAGTCATGACCTCTCTAAGCCTACTTTACATATATATTTCTTGGGTGGGTGTGGAGGGGTTAGGGTCTTATGTAGCCCAGGATGTCCTCGAACTCTCTAGGAAGCCAAGGACGACCTTGAACTTCCAGCCCTTCTGCTTCTACCTCAGGAAGGGCTGAAATTATAAGCATGAAGTACTATATACAGGTTCATGCCATTCGAGGATCTGAACCCAGGCTTCGTGCTTGCTAACCAAGCACGGAGTCAACTGAGCTTATCATTCCTACTGCTATAATGATTAGCATCAACCATAGTCATAATTAAGATCATGTAAATAATAAAGCAATTTACAAATCCCGAACCTATTTTTCAGAATCCCCATTTCTACCTTGCCTTGCATTAAGACATGAAAGCCAGAAGCATACATCTTCATTGGTAAGAAAGCAAACTTAAAATGAATTAATCCAATGTGACTTTTGTTTTCCAAGACAGGGGTTCTCTGTATAGCTTTGGAGCCTGTCCTGGCACTCACTCTATAGACCAGGCTGGTTTCGAACTCACAGAAATCCACCTGCCTCTGCCTCCTGAGTGCTGGGACTAAAGGCATGCACCACCAACGCCCAGCTAATCCATTGTATTTGAAAGCTTCATAACTTGTTACTTCCTTGTCTATTTTTAAAGTTGATAACTCCCAATCCTAACGACTTTTATAAATGAAACGACTCTTCTGAGCTATGATTGGGGTGTGGGCTTTATAAATTGCCCACTTAGCTCAAAGAGGCTACATCAAGGAAAAAGAAAGCAGTGCACTCTCATCAACTGGCAGCCAAGAACCTTGGATTTGCCCCGCAGTCAGTCCTTTGACTCAGAAGCCTGAGCAGCTAAAGTTCTTCCAGTCCTTGCTCACTTCCTACCCCTGACTCTGGCCCACTTTCTCAAAGGTCTGAAAAGCGGGTGGCCAGAAAGTGCAAAACCAAATGTCCCTGGGTGTCTGAGATGGTTCAGCTGTCTGCAAATATCATTCCAGTTTGGCACATGCAGAAAGCTCCTTGGAAGCCAGAGCAGGGATAGATGTCGTCCCGCAGGGAGCCTCCCCAGCCCGCCCGCACTCACGCTGACGATGGTAGAGACGAACAGCAACACTAGCACCGCGACGTGGAGGAACAGGATCCCCAACAACAGTAGGAGCATGGTGGCTGGGAGTTGGGTTCGGGCTCGGTGGAGCGGTGCCTGCACGGAAAGGGAGGCGGGTGTGAGGCCGCTGGCGCTGGTCCGGGGGCCCAGCTGGCCGGGAGGGGGCGGCAGCCGCCATCCCTATCCCCGCCCAGAGCCCGCCCGCCCGCGAGCTAACATCTTTTGCCTTTGGAACAAAACAAGCCATGGTACGCACGTCTCGATCACCCCGGGAGGCGCGCGGAGGAGAGGAGTTTCCAGAAGGATGAGCCGAGGCCACAGCAAGCCTCCGCCCAGTCCGGGCGCCTCTCGGGGCTCGTGGGACTCGGGAGGCCACAGAGGCCACATCCCTGCCCGAGTCATAGGGCGGATTCCCCCAGGGGCGGGAGGCTCAGCGGTTGGCGCCAGGATTGCAGTCAGTGGCCTGGGGTCGCCCGCCGTCCAAGGCTGGTTTCCCAGACCCCAGTGTGCCTCGCATTCCGTTACTTGCTTCCAAATTTCCACCGGGTTTTACCAGCGGAGAGGAGCCGCCCCGCCCCGGGCTCCGCCAAGACGCTGGCAGCTCCGGGATCGGGAGAGCAGGCGGGCTGGAGGTCTGCCCGGCTCCCGAGCTTCCCGCGCGCCAGGCTCCGCGCCTTCCCTGCGCGCCCCAGGGGGTTAAGGTCCTCCGACCCACTAGCTCCACGACCTGCCCACCCTCCCCACGACGGCCCCACGGACAGCCAGGCTGAGCCCGCTGCACTCAGGGCCCCCAGGCGTACCCCGTCCAGTTTTCCATTCCGAGTGGATGCCTCGGGAGTCCTATGCTGGGGTGCCGCTGACCGGCTGTGTAAAAGGGCTGATTGAGTCTGAGAATTCCCCCAGGTCAGGGCTAGCAAGGCCTGAGGTACGGAGATCCTATCCCCCTACTTCACAGACTTTAGGGAGCTAAAGCTTGGGTGATCTGATGCAAATCTGTGAAAGACCTGACTGCAGCTGGATGGACCAGTTAAGAACAGAACTTTGGGCCAAGGAGACTTCAAAAGAGTTTTGACAAGCATTCTATCCCAGACACCTCCATTATCCTCCCAAGGAACACATCAAAAACATAACCCCAGGAATGCACACAAGATATACATAGGATGTTCCCAAACTTGCCAGAAAATTTAAATTACATCGGACGGCTTCCAGTAGCAGCGAACAAGAGCAGATAAGGCCTGTGGCTAGGACCTGAAGGTCCAGAGGTCTGGGATATCATCCTAGGTATTTTGGCAGAGCACCATCCTCTGGAAAGAACTGCTTGGCCGCCCCAGCCACCCTCTATCCAGACACCATCACCACCCTGAGGTCTGAACGTGTCCCTCCGGTAGGCTAGGAAAGAAGCAGGCAAAGGAGTCTCAGCCTCCTGCCACAAGGCAACCCTTTGGCGGCCGGAGCCTGGTCACCACTCTAGGCGCACCAGCTCCAGGTGATGCCCTGGTTTATCCCCCTCCTTCACTTTCCCTACCTACTTACTTGCAGTTCAAAGAGACAGCTGTCTCAGAGCAGAGTGGCTTCAGGCACAAACTCCAGTGGGACCTCTGGGTTGCTGGCGTCCCCAAAAGACAGCTGTGCTGCGGGGCTGCGCGCGCAAAGCAAGGGGGCAGTGGGAGGCTCCTGGCGTTCCCCTTTAACGGGAACTACGCCCTGTTTGCGTCGCTGCAGAAGGGTGTGTCCCGGGGTCAGCGTGTGCGGGAGGGCGGGCCTCCCCGAGGAGAGGGGGCAGGCGGGCGGGGCGCCGACTGCCCAGACAGTTACTTGGACTTAAAGACACCTCCGGAAAAAACAGATCTCTGCAAAACTGCGGCTTTTACTCGAAGCTGGAGGCCCCTGGGCTTCCACCTCCCACCTCCCCTAGCTCTGTGGTGCTTGGACCCTGTTGACCAATAAATCAATCGTACCTTCGCCCCCCACTCCCAGGCTAAATGAGTAAAGTTTGCCAGGCATCGTGCCGCAAGTGTGCAGGGCTGAGTTTCCGGGCGCACCGAAGCAGACTGTGTCCATGCGCGGACTGAGGCTGGATCCTCTCTCCTACCAGCAGCCGGGACCTCTGGGACCTTCACACCTGGCTTGCCTGTGCTGGGGTCTTAACTGGGCGTGTTCTCAAAACACCCATCCCTGTTATCCCTATTTGTATCTAGAAAATGTGCTGGCCTTCTTGGATTCCAGGGACATAGTCAGAGGCCCCTGCTGGGACCGGAATTCGAAGGGAGGGGAGGGGGAACAGGCAGACCAAGAGATAGGGAGCCCTAGGATCCGGCTCCTCCTAGGTTTGGCAAAACCAGGTTACAACCGCATATAAACTCTAGGTGAAGTTTGCTTGAGGCAATCTGGCCTGGCTCCCAGCCTTGGCTGGAATCCTGGCCAGGGGGGTAGGGGGTTAGGGAACTGGCCATCTGAGGTGCGGAAGAGCCGCCAGAGAAACTAGCTGATTCATAGCTGCCTGAGTGTGGCCCTCCCAGAGTTGTAGAGGGAGAGGCTAGCCAGCTCTTCTTGGAGATGTGCCCAAGTAGCCATCAGGTCACCTGTGTTGGCTGACTGAGCAAGGAGTCAATGTGTTAAAATCTCTACCCGCTCATCCACACCCTCCCTACCTATTATGAGTAGTGTGTCACAAAGTCCTAGGTGACTCAAATAGTTCCACATCATTTTGCAATTGGAAAGTAGCCATTACTTTAAGTAATTGTATATTCTTGTTCATTAAATAAAAAACAAATCCGTAGGATTCTCCAGACAACGATCTTTCAGATTTTCTTATCATATTAAAAAGAATACTGGTGAAAATTTTATTCAGTGACCTGTCCATGTCAGGTGGTTTACCTGGGCTTGGCACACAGGGGATGAGAGATGTGGTGCGGGGTTGAGGTCAGGGCTCTGCGCTCAGGCACACCTAATCAGCCAGTGTGCAATCACTGCGCTTCAGTGTCTCCAGAGTTACTGGGAAGAGCTACTACTGGTGCCTGCACTGAAGGGTGTGGTGATCCCTCAAGAAGATGCGTTCAAAGCTCTTAGTGGTGGGTCTGGAACAACATACAGGCCCAGGCCACAAACACACCACAATTATAAGAATACCATGTATTTAACAAAAAAGAAAAGAAAAAGAAGAATACCACGTATAACATTCACAACCCTACAAGTCAGGCCTGCCCACCTCCCTTCTAAAATATATTAGAATACCCAGAGTTACAGAGCTGCATGAGAGTGTATGGGGCTGGAGAATGGAAATAAGTCTTCTATTTTATGGGTCATTTTCATGTCAGGTGTGTCCTAGAAGTCACTGCTGCACTCTTAGTTACTTAAAACCATATTTGTTCTAAGCATTCTCAGTGGCACTATACTGATCTCTGGATTCCCCTCCCTTTCTGTTAGGGGGACTTCTAAAGGCATCTAATACACATCGTGAAAGGGGCATGGTTGTAGGAGCATCCACAGCCTGCTCCTCCCCATCCTTTGAACTCGGCATTTCAATCAATAATCACCTGGGTCATAGCCACACCACAAGCTGCTAGAAAGGTGGCCCCAGCTGTCCCTTGCTGCCTCTTGCTTCCTGCTCATCTCCCAGTGCTAGAGAGGAAATGCAGTGCTGAGCAAACTTAGCCACGCCCAGAGCCTGCTGGCCACAGGTGGAAGTGTCTGTGTCCCAGCCCGGCTTGTCATCTCTGTGACTGCTGCTGCCAGCATTGTACTAGGGCAGGGACATCTAGGTCCCCCTTTCCCTTCCAGTCTGGATGTATTCAGGTTCTAGATGCTCTCAGGCCACTCTTTTACCTCCCCAACCAAATACACAACTGAATTTTAAGCACAAACTTAAGAACTCCTGAGTCCCTGTCATTTTCAGTACCTATATGCTGTCTCTGTTACAGTCCCTTCCATTTTCAGGTTGCAATGGATGGGAATTGAGCCACCCTATACTGTACACACTACCCAGAGTCATCATTTGCCAATAAAACTCACCAGAACAACGGTGTAATGCCTTTCTCCACACAGATTTCTTTGCAGTCAAATGCAAAGGATGGAAGGCAAGGCCTCCCCACGGGACAGCAGATGCCCACAGCTGACACGGATCCGAGCTCTGCTGCTTGCAGCCAGGCTCCCTGAGATGTTCTCTGGTGGAGCTCCCTGTAACTGAAGCTGAACTAGGCGTCTTTCCAGTTTATTCAGGGGCTGGTCCAATGCTGGGATATGTCATGGTGGCCTGAGAGGTTCTCAGCCTCTACTATTTAAAGAGACAGTGTCCACTGGGTATCCTCTGGAAGGGATTGATCCCAAGAGGCCCCGCAGGAAATGAAGCTTGAAATAAATGTGGGGTATTCCTAAAGCTGAGAACCTAGGGCTCTTCTCCCTGGAATCACTAACCTATGTACAAGCAAAGAGGTCCAGCCCATTCTCAGTCTGCTCTCTGTAACTGCAGGTTTGCAGGACTGAAATCTGCTGTGTAATGGGTATATGTACACAGTCTTAACAGTGCAAGAAACTTGGCATCCTTTTACAGCATTCCAATATGGCCCAAATTATTCCCTCAGCACATCACACCAGGGAACCAAACATGTATGGCAGGGTTACCTAAGTCAGCTCCATTTTGCTGGGTGCCCAGTTAGCAAGAGTCCATGCTACCTGCTCCTTCTGTGTTGACAACATACTATAACATACCATGCTGGCAGTGTGTTTAAATGGAAGTTAGGGAAATGTGTCTTCCAGTTCTCTTTAGTGTGTCTTCCTCCAATCACTATTACATATTGACCTTTGTGAGGTCATTCATCTCAAGTAAACAACCCCCTGCAGAAAAGGTTTCTGACCTACCAAGCAGGCTACACTGGAAGAGCAATTGGGGAGTGAGAGCTTGGCAAGTGATGTTTGTAGCATTCTTTTCAATTCACCCCACCCCCTCCAACTCATAAGAAGGGTCCCCATCTCTAGTACCTGCTTTGAAGCAGATGCTCGTCTAAGATAAAGGGATGAGATTTAATTGAATATATTTCCCAGAGTCCTGGCAACTCCCCAATCTCTTATGTCATAGACTCCCACTCTGAATCAACCCAAGGCATTTGAGAAAGTCCTTACAGCTCATTGGGCTCCCTCATCAGGAGCAAATCTGAATGGTCTAATTGCTCCACTCACAGCCACATCCTTCTAGTTCCCCCCAAAGCATGACTCCCTCCCTTTGCTTACCCACATCTATATTCCAAGCACCTGTTCTCAACCCTGACTGCTGCTTAGAAGCAACTGAGAACTTTGCCGATGATCTCACCTAGGCCCATGTCAGGGATGCTGACATTAGTGGTACGGAAGAGACTCACATTCTGCTTCTCCACCATGTCTCATTGCCCACCTGGGTGTTCTGGAGCTGAAGTACTCTTGCTTTTCCATCCAACTTCCCTCTGTGGTTCAGTCCAAAATGGGTCAAAGCTCAGGGGGGCTACCTTATTATGAAAGACACGGGATAGTCTTAGCAGGTGAAACCGGGCAGGGTATGACAAGAGAGCTCATCTCAATCCTCCTCTAATGTGGTCTGCACGGAGCTCTGGAAATCAGGTAGCACAGTTCCTTCAACCTTTACAGACATCCATTTTCCCATGATTAAACTGTAGATTGCAAGGCAGAGACTATTGGCCCTCCATTCAGGACAAAATGGTCACATCAGGGAAGATTATTTATGACGGAAAGCCTGGAATTTGAGGAAGAGTGAGGGGGAAGGCCTGAGAGCATGGATTTTTGCATCTGGACCAATCACATCAGCTAGCCCTTCCCCTCCATGAGCCAATCTTCCCTAGACCCACCCTCGCAGCCTGTGTCTCTTTTGGTCCCTCCAGTCTCATTAGTCAGAGCCCTGGAAGTCCTGCTGGCTACCTGCTCCATTCCCACTTGTCTATCTTCACTCATCAGGACTGGGTTGTCTGCCTGCGCAAGAGCCACCTGAGGAAAATGTCCTTTTGGTTCTCTCACTCTCCTCAGCCAAACAGGACTTCATTCTAGTCACAAAGAACATCCCATCGAACCATCTGCCACAATAATCACATAGAATACTCAACCGATCATATTTATCATTGTGGATGTTGCCTCTCTTTACACATAGGGAAAGTAAGATTTGTGCAACTTCACCATGGAGACAGTGAAGTTACCACAGACTGGCTAATTCTACCAGCTGAACGTTTCGGCTGCACCTGAGTTTGAACTTCTCAGGAGTGATCACTCTACCCAGAAGTCATGGACTAAATTGATAGCATTAGCCATTCATATATACCAGGTGCCTATTAAGACCAAGGACCACTCTGAGCATTTCATCTGAATCAAATCACTAATCTTTGCAGTGACTTATGAAATGGGTACCAACATCAATCTCTTTTATAAGAAGGGGCACAGCAAGACACCAAGTGGCTTTCTCTAAACTCTATGGTAGAGCCCACACTTAGGACCCATTCCATCTTACTCCGTACCACATTTAGAATATTCCTAGCACATCTTTAACACTAGACTTCCATCAACTTTCTATAATTCAATATCCTTTTTCATGAAAGATACACTTCGTATACATCTAGTCACTCACATCTTTTTCCATTAAAGGGAAGATCACACCAGTCCTCTTGGTACTGATTTCCAGCATCCAACCTCATTCTACAGCAAAATCAGGTACTTCTGCATGGAAGGAAGCCCATATCACACACATCCACCTAACACCTGGACCAGGGCAATGCCCAGAAGAAACAGTTGATTCCACAAGACTGTCACTGTTGTCCTTGGGGAGCAGGACTCAAGCAGACCCCGTAGGAGGAAGCCCTTAGTGCATTTGACAACTGATAAAATGCTGTTGCCTACTGCATCCTTCCCAGAGGTTAGCATTATAGCCATATCCCTGTGAGGGAACTGAGGCATGAAAAAGTCACATTTTTCTCCAGGGATCAGCTCCAGAAGTCCAGGCTGGGGCATGAGGCCAGATCCCTTCTCCCAAACCTGTGGCTTTCCATTCCACACACTCCCCAAGAGCAAAGTAGAGGTGAGCCTTAACTTGGTATGTGTTCAGATGATGAAGTGGTCATGGAAGCATCTATCCCCCATAACTATCTGGACAGTGTTCACACAGCAAAGGGAGCCCATGCTGCCTCACAGCAGCCTGTGTGGGAGTTTTTGGCCCAACCTGGATGCAGCTGGTCTGGAAGGGTTTTCAAAAGTCGACTCACTGGCTCTGGATGTATCACAACTGTTTTGACCTTGTGCAAGAGCAGCTTATTACAAGAACAAGCAAATGGAGAGGAGGGAAGGAAGGAATAGAAGTGTGACTTCCATTGACCCCTCTGTCAATGCACAAGTTTGAAACTATGTCATGTCTAAGCCCCTGGAAGATGGGAAGATGTCCTATATAAACAAAGAAGGAGGCAGAAACCACCCCCCCAACACAACGCCACATACCACATACATACATGACACACACATGTACCCCCATGCACAACACACATACATACCATATGTGCACATGCTATGCACGTGTGTGTACACACCCACACACACACAGCCTATCCTGGCAAGTCACAGTTTTGTCTTAGAATAGTGTGTCTTCAGCTCCTTCACCTATAGGAGAAAGCACAGAATAATTATGTTGCAGACACACACACACACACACACACAAGCTACAGAGTACAAGAGACTCTTTGTCCCCGAATGTGTTGTTGCTTAGGGAAGCCGGATTCCAGAGATGCAAGTAGAGGGGAGAAAGCCGCCTTTCTCTGATATCTCATGAGCTGGCAGAGAGCAATTTGAGTTGAGAGAAGGTCAGAAACAGACATGTATTTGCAATGCTGAAGATTTTCTGAAACTTCTAGTCCTAAGTGGCAGGCTTCCACTCCAACAGAGGTGGGGAAGGTGAGCAGTCTTGCTGCAGAGCTTAGAAGTGAGGAAAGAGGCAATTGTCCAGGCTCCTGCAAACCAGCTGTGGTTCTTCTGAGAAAGACAACCTGGTCTTGATAAGCGATATAGAGAGAGGTGACAGGAAAGGCTACTTACCCCAATGGGATGGTTAAGTCAGGCGTAAGAAATGATCATTCACCTCCAGCAAGAACATTTGCGAACCTGGGAAAACAACCCCATCATGTTCCCAAGGTGTCTCATTCTGAGTGCACCTTTGAACCAGAGGCGCAGCAGTTGGTCTGAGAATGAACCTGAGGGCAGATGTTTTCTCTGTCTGAGATCCTCCAACTACTTCTCAAGCGTGAAAACTTAGCTACACCAGGAAAGTCATAGGCAGAGGTCAAAGATCAAACCCTTCTAAGAGGTTCAAAGGACAATTGGGCAACATTTCAAACATGTTTCCTCTTCATTGTTATGGACCAGGAAATACCTAATCCATGGAACTTCAGTGGCAAGCTAGGGCCTCCTGTGGAGACTGTTTTAAAAATCTGAGCTCAGAATTTTAGTTTATTTGAAAATAGTCTTGGATATGTGAAAAACTGGCTGTCAAATGTATTAATTGTGATACCTTCTATAATGAAAAATGTTATGGATATTCAGTAAATTTTGGTACAGTCATAATATCAGCTATTGTAGAAATCTTAAAAGTAATGCAAAGGGGGAGAATTATGAAACGTAGAGACATGTATAATAATATATGCAACATTATATTCATGATTTATTGAGCATTTTATGTGTGTCAGTGCTAAACATATATTTTCATGCGTAACTGGCAGACAGTTGTATAAACTTTGGTCATCAGACCACATTGTGAACCACTCAACTCCATCAAATGGGCAGTTTTGTTTGGTTTTTATTTGTATTTCCTTAGGGTATGGAAGATTGAACCAGGGCCCTTTCACATGCTAAGCAAGCACTCTACCACTGACCTACATTCCTGGTCCTCTAGCCCCTTTTAAGGTCTTTGTTCATTTGTTTGTTTTCATTTTGAGACAGGGTCTCCCTAAATTGCCCAAGTTGGTCTTGAACTCACTCTGTAACCTAACAAGACTTGAACCTGCAACCCTCAGACTTGCAATTCATCTGCCTCAGCCTCAGAAGCAGCTAGGATTATTGGCTTGTGCCACCAGGCTCAACACATGTGTAGTCTCATACAGCTCCACAGTAGTAACAGCAGTGAGGGAAAAAAACCATGACTGTTTGGAGTTGGGAGATTGCAG